TCGGCCTTTTCACCTTTAGAAAATAAAAAATAAAACAATTATTATTACAGAAGAATCAGAAAATGCTTCAATATTATTTTCATAAGCATGCAACTTAAGAATATTTTTAGCATAATATATTTATTTGGAATGCATCATTTCACATAATTTTATAAATTACTAGGGTAAAAACCGCCATACTGACACGTTATAAGTAAGTGAAAAAAATTTCAAATTCTAATAAATATTTGATATTTTAATTATTCTTTTGTGTCTATTTTGCCCTAAGACTTTAGCAAAATTGTGGGAGGTATGACTATTAAAAAACAATAATGTATTTAAAAAATACAATCATATTGTGTGAATAGTATAATATATTAAAATTCTTCTGGAGATTATTTATTCTTAAAAGACAACATGTTTAGGACTACACAAAATTCATAAGATTCGAGCTAATCGAATTAAATACAAAAAATTACTTATTTACTTAAAGTTGTATGATGGTAGTGTTCATGTTCTATTGGAAAAATGTAAGAAAGGAGTGCTAATTTGAATTACAACCCAAATGACATATTTTGTTATTGTATTTTCGTCTTATTTTTAAGGTTTTTAAGGTTTTACTAAAAATTTACAAAATACGATAAACTAAGTTTTGTTTCTCTCACTAAAATTTTCTAAAGGTTTACATACAGTATTACTTCTTTCATTTCACAAGAGTTTTAAATAAAATCATTAATATTAAGAAAGTTGTTATTTTTTAAAACATAATATTTAATTGATAAAATTTACTAATTATTAAAAATAGACATTATGTAATTGGTCACATTATATCTAGTATATGTAAAAGTTACTTAGATGTGAGAAAATTGCCTATGTTTTTGAAACAAAAAAAATTCTTAATACTATTTACAATAAGAAACAGAGGGAGTAGTATATAGTTTTAATGAAAATACATTATTTAATTTGTTTTTGTTAATAAATACAGAACTTAAGAAGAAACTATAGTTTGCAAAAAGAAGTGAATGATTATTAATGAAAAAGATCGAGCTATAAACCCGTATTTGTTACTTTTTATTTGTAAATTTAAGAATTATTATTTTCCAATAAAAGAACTTTAAGATTTATTACTCTAAGTAATCTAAAATCAGAAATTGTTGATTTTTAGTATTTCTTTGAATTGTGTTTTAATTTAAATGTTAAGATTAAATAAATTTATTCTATAAAGTTAACAAAATATATAACCAGACCATTGTAAAGCCATTTATACATTTCTTTATATTCGATCGATGGGTTACGTCGACCATTCGCGGTGGCTCTCCTCCTTTCAGGAAGGAATCATTTCGGTTTCTTCATGCGTACAACCGAATTGGCGGCAATCGAGGCTACACTACGATTTCTTTATCTAATTTTTTTTAGTTGCGATTCACTTTGCTCATCATTAGTTGATGCCACAGATGTTCTGGTTAGTTAAAAGTATCTGAGGTATCGTTTTAAGAAATCTCGGTGAAAATAATAAACTCTGGATATAGAAATTTTTCAGATACTTTTGATTAACCAAAACGCTATATATAATATTTTTTAGGAACACATATTGCAGTAAAATTGCAGTAAACTGGTAAAAAAAAAGAGAAATTCATTGAATGATGCCATCAAAATTTTTAATTAAAGATAAACCGACGAACGAACGAAAAGTAAACAAAAAATTAACCAAGAACCATGACACATACCATGTTAAAAAGAGACGAATTAGTGTCATGTTAGTGACATGACACTCTCATATGAGAGAAAAAACTACTTTATATAATAAAACTAGGGTCGGACTGCGATTCACGCGGCGAGTGGATTCTTTAAGTATTCGACATGAATTTTTTTAAGTTTCAAAAATGTAATTATATATTTGTTAGATCATTATTTATGAGAAATCACTTTATATGGATTTTCAATAAACTGAACCTCAAAATCGTAAAAGTTAAGTAAATTGTGTGATAGATGATTAATCTTCTATTTTTTATAAAATGTGTAACATTTGTTCTCTCGTATATCAGTTCAAAATAATAATTTAAAAAAAAAATGAATCATATTTTTTTCAGATAAAAAAAATCGACTAAAATATTCATTTAAAACACAAAATAGTACACTATATTATTTTATTATCTACTTAATATTTAAAATAATTTTGAAGTGAAAATTTATTTGAAAAATGCTTATAAATGGATCGACATTTTTTTGTATATGATATATAATTAACTATAAGATTAATTATATATAATGGTAAACAAAATATTGCTTAATTATATTTTTTGGAAAAAAATTATACTACTCTTACTTATTGTCATTATTCCAATATAATTATGTAATTTATGAAAATAAAAACCTTAAATACTCCCTTTGTATTAAAAATAACTGGTACCAAAATTGATATTAAAATAATTATTAATTTGTAATGAAATTTTAACCTTTTCATGGCGTCTTCTTTGATCTTTATTTGTTTGATATTCTTAATATTCCTTCGTTATCTAAGTGGATTGTTGTTTTTCAGTTTGAGCAAAGGTACATTGGTCACTTCTTCTCGTAAATATTGTTTTTATGTGTTTGAATTAGACCAGTTAATTTAATCTGTTGAACCATTTTTAAATATTCTTAATCAGTATAGTTAGTTAAATATATTGACACAGCTTTAAAGTTTTCTAATATTATTTATTTATAGTGATTTTAATAATGTTTTTTAAAATGTTACTATCTAACATATATTTTATATTTTAGTAAAATTATATAATTTTAAGATATTTCAACTTAGCATTTTAGAAATAAAACGTTTATTCAAAGATAAGTAAATATATACTAATTGTGTTCAATTTCAACTTGTGGATCTTTGCTTCTCTTTAGAAAAAAAAAATATTTTTTGACAAATTCAATTTATTTATGTAAATATAGTAACATTTTCCTATTTAACGGCTTTTTACAAAATATGCTTTTATCTGAAACATGGAATATTTATTATCTAATTGTATTTATCATATTTGATTAACTTTGATGAAAATAATTGTTAAATTTACAACTGATTAAACTTTAACTAATATTCTATTTTATATTTCTGACTTTCAATTATTTAAGTTATCTAGACATGTGGTGCCGTTTTTTTGCTCGACTTTCTGATGTGGCGGGTGATGTAGATGGCCTAAGAAGGAAAGAAACACTCTTTTATAACACTTTGTAGATGGCCTAGAATATTTGACTGCACTATCTCGTAGTTTTTAATTCCTAAGAACTCCAAATAGAAGAACACCATTAGACATACAATTTTGATTAGAGTCATTAACTATTCAAAACAAAAAATATTTTAATAATGCTAAGGACTCTAATTAGAGTAACATGATTGTGGGTGCTCTAAAGAGATGTTTATTATTGTCATGGATGTATATGTGTACCCGTGAAAGAGTTACTTGAGTATAATAGAAAGACTTTGTGCTGCTTTTCTCTGGTCTGGACCAAAGTTGAAGGGTCGTGCAGCAAAAATATCTTGGCAGGATGTTTGTAAGCTGAAGAGTGAAGGGGGTCTGGGTATCAAGCCTTTGAAAGAAGCAAATGTGGTTTGCTGTTTAAAGCTGCTCTGGCGTCTGCTTTCTTCTGCAAATTCGCTTTGGGTAAGTTGGATACAAACTTATCTGATAAGAAAAGGATCTATATGGATGGCTAAAAATACTCAACAAGGGTCATGGATCTGGAGGAAATTGCTGAAATATAGAGAGGTAGCAAAGAAACTTCATAGAGTTGAGATTAATAATGGTAGGAAAACTTCTTTTTGGCATGATTCATGGTCGCAGATGGGAAGGCTTTGGGATCTCTGTGGTGACAGGGGATTTATTGAAATGGGTGTCAAAGAAAATGCTACAGACTATGAAGTGATTCATACCACCAGAAGGAGAAGACATCGCGTTGCTTTTTTTGATGATATGGAGGAGATGATTGACTCGATGAGACACAGAAATAGTAGTGAGGATGATAAGGCTTTGTGGAGATATAGAGATGATCAATATAAAGAAACTTTCTCCACAAACAATACTTGGCGATTGATTAGAGAGGAGCTTCCGGAGTGTGGTTGGGACAGAGTTGTTTGGTTTAGCTATGCAACTCCTAAGTATGCTTTTATTCAATGGGTTGCCATGCATAACAGGTTTCCGACTGGTAGTAGAATGCTTAAATGGAATATGAATATTAGCTCTGCTTGTATTCTCTGTCAGGCTCCAGTTGAAACCAGGGAGCATCTCTTTTTTGAGTGTCATTACTCTGAGGAAATATGGAGAACTCTTACTCAAGGTTTCTTAAGAGATCATTATACTGAGAAGTGGCATGATATCATATGTTTGATTATTGCCAGTTCGCAGCAGAGGATGCCTAAATTTGTTCTCCAGTATATTTTCCAGGCTACTATCTATGCTATTTGGCGAGAGCGAAATGCTAGAAGGCACGGAGATAAGCCTTCTCCTGTGAGCAGATTAATACACTTGCTGGACAGGAATATGAGAGATAGATTCACTACAATTAGAAGAATGGGAGGGAACAAGTATGATGAAGGCTTGTTGTTCTGGTTTGCAACTAGGAGCATGACTTAGAGCGAGTAGTTGTTGTCGGAGTGCTGGTTAGGAGGAGCTTGGTGTTTAGTTTTAAGGAGGTTACTTCTGCGAGTTTTTACCCTGCCTCTCCATACACTCTCCTGGTTAGTAAATTCTAACTCTTTTTCCTTATTGAGTTTTGTCCTATTTGGGTTTTCTCAATAAGATTTTAATGAGGAGAATTTCTTAACCATCTCAAGCTTGATTTGCTCCACATGGTTGAGCTTGAGGGGGAGTGTTAGAGATGGTTTTGTTGGCTTTGGGATTGGTTTAAAAAATTTGAAGTAGTGTTGATTGTTTTTCTCTCTTAATCTTTTTAGATTTTTGTTGCACTTGTTGTACAAACATTTTTTCTTTTGAATTAAATTTAACATTCAATTCAAAAAAAAAGCTTCAGTGTTGAGTCATCATCAAACTATTTAATTTCAATGGAGGTAAGTAGAGTGTATGTTTTGAGACGTCTTTGCTTTGAAAGCAAGCTCCACAATCTCCAACTATACGCATAAACGTGTATTCAGAGATTTTTCTACATTTGCAAACTGGCACTCCAATTTATCCACTTAATTTTGGAAAAGCTTGGTTGTAAGTTGTACTGTTACTCACTAATCTCAACTGACACGAAACCAATAATGAAAGAGCATATCAGCTTGGTTCCCAATAAAGCCTTATCAACATGTTTGACGTTGAGTGCAAAATGGGACTGGATCACTTGGTTGACATCTGTAAAATTACTATGATGTCCAAAACCCTTATATATAAAAGACACCTTCCCTCTGCCAGATGAAAATGTCACACTAACCATTCTTTGTTCTGCTTGTGTTGTTTGTTTGGTTTATAATAAAGATATATCAAACCATTTTTGGCTTTCTGAGATTTCGACCTAAACCACCTTTGAACTTCTGTACTCATATAAAATTTCCAGTAGTGTCTTTCTAAAGTGAGTTGATCTCAAAAATGTACTATATCACCTAGAAATTTGAAAAACAAAGGTACGAAATTAAACAGAATCTTTAGTATAAACGACGCAGGACCAACCTCAACCAAATATGCTGTTACAAAATTTTTCTTTTTAAAAATACTTGTAATATGTGAGCCATCTGCTTATCTGCATTACCATAGGCTCAAGTTCAACAAATGGAAGTCAATCTTTTGTTCCGGTGCAACAATGGTCCGGGTAGTTCATAGAAGTAGAAGACTGGTTGAAGTAAGGAACATGGCATCCCGTTCCTAAATTTGCAAGTTTCATTTTCTTTACCAAAAAATTATTATGAGTAGCAACAACCAAAGTAGCAGAGTTAAAAACAAAAGCAGTAAGTCTTACAATGATGTGTACGAAAAGAACTAAACGTCATCTTCACGGTTTTCTTTATTACAGACATACACTATTCATTCTTTGTCATAATATTCAAATATTATGTGCGGTTTAGCGGGAAAACCCAAAATCAGTACCCAAAACCAGCTCACACAATTTGAACAATATTAAATCAACAACATCCTTAGAAAAATTAAAGATCCTCTTAACTTTCACCATTTATAAACACTAAATCTGGAAAAGCTACAAACTTCCATCAAAACTAACTCACACAATTCTTAAAGACTTGTTAGAAAATGACAACTCAGTATTGCCTTAGCAGGAATGTGAGTAACTCTTTGTTGTCCCTCCGTCTTTGATTAACGTAGCCTAGGCTTCGATGATGACTATGATTCAAAATCATCCTAAAAGATGGGAATACAAACAAATGAATCGACTTTTAGCTTATCCAATTCTACCTTGGGCTCAATCTCTTTTTTTCTTCTCTTAGTCAAACTGTAAGGTAATCCAAAAGTCGCGAGTCGCCGTGGAGAAGACAAACAACACTTTAGGTCTAGGTCGCGAGTAAACAAAATCGGGCCAGAAAAATGAAAATAAAACCCAACGATAAGGAAAATGCAAACACAACACTGCAGACCCATTTTTAGTTGTCCACATGGATTTTCTGACGTGACTTCTACATGGATTTTCTCAAGTGACTCCTACGTGGATCCCTTTAAGAGGAGTGAAACACAAGGTTCATTGGAATGAGCTGTAACTTTATATTTTTTGGTGTAGAATTATAGCTGTAGATTTTTCTGTTGTGGCTGTAGATAATTTAGCTGTAAGATTTTGGATGTAGATTAAAAAAGATCTAATCATTTACATGTAAATTTCTAAAGCAAAAAATAAATGTTCTAGGTTTAGTGATTTCCAAAGCCAAAATTAAGTAAAAAGGAAAGAAAAATTTGTGGTTTTAAAAAATCTTTATAAAGCATGATTGGAAAATTTTTTTGCTTTAAAAAAAATTTGAGCTATGGAAAGCTTCTACACCACTTCTAAGCACTTGCCAATACCAGTTACAGTGAACCATCTTTTACATATTTCAGTCATACACTAATGACATATCTAAGCAACAAATGAATTTGAAACCGTAAAGTTTAAAGTCTAAACCGGTTGTCTTATAGATTTGACTTTAATTTGATTACTATTTCATTAAAAATCAAACAAAAATAACTGGAATAAAGAAACACTCATGATCGAACAACATCATCATCAACTTGTATTGCTAACTATTTGCCAAAGAACCAAAGCCCTTGAAAACACAAGACAAGAAGACATCTTTGGCATTCGACTTCAAACAAACAAAAAAGTTAGTCATAATCATGTTTTAGACATTATTATTGTGAAATATTTGCTCCATCTTTTAAGAACTCAAGAGAGTAATCAAATTTGTAACAAGAAAAATGGGTTTTGCTTTTCCTCATACGGAGATACCATAGTTGCTGATCTTGTTCACTTCCTTTGTCAAAGCCTTTCTCTCTTGCTTTATTTCAGAAGCACGGTTTGATATCTGAGGTTAAACAAATAAGATAACTCCATTACACAATGTATAAATGGCTAGTAACTTATTCTCAACAAGTCAGCTCCTATATTCTAAACCTAGAAGAGCAAAGAGACGAGTATACTTACTTGAGAACGGAAACGAGAAGCTTCTCTCGTGGGCAATTCTTTAAGTACATCTTTCAAACCTGTATATATACAAGTCAGGGGAGAGAGTTTCTTCTTCTGTTCTAGGCAGATCTCTGGTTTAACAAACTGTGGGAGTTCAAGACAGAAAGATATAAAACATACCTGCTGCTTGTTTTTCAATCTTATAAGCTGAGTTGACCACACCTCGTATCTGTTTTCCTGCTTGTCTGAGTAAGAGGACAGAGACAGTTAATATAATAATCATGTTGATACATATCCCATGTACTGATAATTCTGTGATGACCATATAAACCTGAGTTTCATCCTTCCTCTAATCAGCTCATCTTCTGCCACAGTTGCAACTCTCTGAAACAATCCAATGTGGTTAAGAATTCAAAACCATAATCCAAAAGACCGCTATTACGCCATTGACTAAATAACTGGTGGCTGTCTGTATGTATATTTATATAAATCACATTCAAGACAAATCAACTTAGGTACATTGCCAGAAAGAAAAGTTGGACTCAAGCAGCAGAACTATTTGATTTCTCTGAAAGTATAGGTAAGTATCCATCCATATGAATCTAGAGCAACACCATCCTTGGCTTAGCTACATAGAGAGTTCTCTGTTCGAGACCTGACCCCTTATCATTTTCATACTAAAAACCTGACATTCTTCTTCAAGCTAACTAACAGCATACATAGGAAGTATATACCATTACGGGCAAAACCTCATGCTGAAACAAGAGAAAAAGACTAACCTCTAACTTTTCACTTTCAGCTGTAAGACGATCCAATGATTGTCTTAGCTCTTTTACTCTAAGATCCGCTCTAGAAAGCAAAGCCTGAATCCAAAAACGTAGAGTTAAAGACTCAAGAACAAGTTTTAACCACAGGCATACAAGCTTATAAACTCATCAACAATGCTGTAAACAACACTGACCTCTTCGCTTGAGAGCATGCGTAAAGTATTGTAGTATACAAATCTTCTCGTCTCTGCAAACAAACATAGCCATTCACTAACAGTGCATTAAACTCTAGAGAGTGTATAAAAGCACATCAAGAAAACATACTCTTCAGAGCAAAGATCCCAACACCAAAAGCTAAACCGCCTGATATTAGAGGATGTGATGCAGCAACGTTTACACCATCTGCACACAAACATTTAAACATATAAGATCACAACAACGAAGAGTATAGCAAGCACAGAGTGTAGAAACAGACCTTTGATCTTCGCAAACACCATATGCTCGTAAACGTTATACTCAGAAACAATCTCTCTAATAGAATCCTATCATCCCAAAAATCAAATCACTCAGAATCACATGGAGAATCAATCATATGCTATGGAATTTCAGAGTCGCTTACGATTGTTTGGCTGGTGTGAGCGATTGAAGTATCTCGAATTTGGCTCAATCGAGATTTCGAGGCGTCGATTGTGGAATCTAGCGTCTCCAAGATCGTGTTCTGGTACACGAGCGCCTCACGCATCGTCTCGTCGATCCAGGAAGCTGCGTTCTCCACCGTCGTCGTTGCGATCTTAGCGCTTGGAATCGAAGAAAGTGGAGGAAGCGGTGGAGAAGATTGTGGAATCGCTTCTGAGTGCGAGTCTTCCATCTCTGAGGATGATTCTCCTGAAGTTGCCATTGGAAAAAAGATCTCTAACCTCCTCTTCGCTCAAAGTTTTTTTACCCAGTGGATGAATAGAAATGACCCGAATATAAAAACTCGGGGCCCGATTCTAATTGTTTATTCACAACTCAAGCCCCTCAACTTCTATTAGGTTTTTCAATATTTCCGTTTTTTTCTTATTGTAAATTAATCCCATAAAGGCAAATCTTCATTTGATAGGTTAATTTATCTTTGAATATGTTAATTTGTATTTCATTCTTAGATTTATACGAAGAAGAAGAAAGCTTTGAATGACAAGAAACTGGAGTTGGTGGTTTATATTCCACAAAATTAAGACATGAGTTTGTATATGTGAATTTGTAATTTATCCTTAAATTTGTATGAAGAACATGGAAAGTCGAATGTGGAAAACTAGAAAATTTTAAATTATATTCCACAAAATTAAAAAAAAAAAAAAAACATGAGTTGAAACCATTCTGATCACTAGCAATCACTTAGCCTCATGTTTATGTGTGCGTTTTACAAAGCCTCTCTGCTAATAATCATCACTTGACAAAGTAGAGCTTCCCCATGACATGAAGGACAGCAACAAAAGCAATGAAACCGATGCTCATAACAAGGACAACATTAGGGGAGATCTTGAGACCGGGTGCGTCATCGGTGTAGAACTGAAGCATGGATCCTGCTGCACCACCACCAGAGGCTCCTCCACCACTTCCACTAGGCTTCCTCCTACGCATGCTTGCAGCTGCAGCTGCACTTCCTCTCTGTGGAGCTCCACTTCCCACCATCTTTTTTTTTCTCTTTTTAACTAACTGTGTTAAATTTTGGAGTTATTCTCAGAAGCAAACCTTAAATATTAAACATAAAATCACTTTGCTAATTAGCAATATAACAGATTCTATATTGCCATTCGATTCCAACTTCCAAGACAAAATTATCAAACATACTGAAATGCATATATCTGTGAACAGCGATCGAGATCGTATTTCTCAGATGCCAAGGCAATAAATAATAAACAAGCAATGGAAGATATCTATCAGATGAGAGACCGTTAACCGAAAATCATAGATCTCATATTTAGATCTACATTCTCATCTAACGATTCCTCAATCACTGAATCAAAGAGATATACCCGAGGCTGGATCGTACATCAGCGAAATCAAATAAAACTCACCTGATTTGGATTTCAGAGTTCTGATGTGAAAAACGATAACGAGAGAAGGAGAATTTTTTCGGAGCTTTGGAGTTAAACCGGACTCTTAAACCTTTTTTTTGCAGTGTAACTCTCGCCACGCAGTTTATATCATATTACCCAATAAACTAACGCCACATCAACATCATTATCAGGGCCTGATTACAATACAGTGTTTTTAGCAGAGTTTGCATGTTTGGAACTTAAGACCCAATATTAAGGCCCATAAAAGCCCAAATTAAAGCCTATCAGCATGACTAGAACAATGTATTCCCCACAGTTTTGACTAAGCCTGGGCGTTCGGGTACCCGTTGGCGTTCGGATCTGGTTTTTCGGATTTTCGGGTTTTCGGGTTTACGCTCATAGGTCCCATTCTAATATTTTACTAGTACGGGTCGGGTTCAGATAATAACACTTCGGGTTCGGTTCAAATTTGTATTGCAGCATAAAACCCGTAAAGTAACCATATATCGTTCGGATTCAGGTTATTTCGGTTCGGTTCGGATATACCCGAAGTATAAAACAAAATTTCGAAACAAAAACATAAAGAAAAACACTGAAACTGAATATAAATTAATCATACATACATAACTTGTAAACAATGTGCATTACCTTACATATAAACTACATTTATTATTATAATGAACAAATTACAAAGTACTTATTTATAACTAATTATATATTTAAGGTATTTATTTATATTTTAATATTTATTGTATGTATCATATCAAAATAAACATTAAACTGAATATCTAAAATATTTATATTAATATATATATATATATTTAAAATATTTATATTAACTATTAATTTCGGATATTTCGGGTTATCCGTTCGGGGTTAGGTTAAATAACACTTCGGGTTCGGATTTTTTTATACCATCCTATAAGACCCGTTCGGGTATTTTTACATTTCGGGTCGGATAACGGGTCAGGTTTTTCGGTTCGGGTTCGGTTCGGATTTCGGGTTTCGGATTTTATGCCCAGGCCTAGTTTTGACTTTTGCCTTCGACAGGAAAAAAATTCACTGAAAAGACATGTGGGTTCGGTTTCTTCGGTAAGTTCAGATCAAATCTCGTCGAAGTGAACCGATAAAACAATTCAATTCGGTTCAGTTCGGTTTTCAGTTAGTTTGCTTTCAAGACTTTCTATAGAACTTTTTGGTTTTCTGTTTAAAATGAATAAATTTTGTAAAAAAAATAGGCTAAGTTCAGACCGGAATTTTGGTTAAAATTGATATCATCTGGTAAATTTTTTTTTAGAAAAACAAACTAACCAAATATCGAAAAAATAAATGCTTTTTAATTGTCAAATTGAACTTAACTTCTTAATCAAACTGAACTTTTCAATTTGGTTCGGTAGGCTTAGTTCGGTTAATAGCCGCAGGCCTAACTGAAGTGATATTGATATATATTAGCCATGTTCGTTTTTGAGACCCGAGCGACAAGCAAATATAAAAGGACTTAAAATTCCATGTCATCAACAAGCTATATTGGAGTAATGAGGATTGATACATACTAACCCGGTTTCCTTTCGCCTGGTTTAGTGTAATTAATTGTACATTGGTTAGTTTTGGTTTAGTATTCAATTGTATATAAGCCGTTGTAAAGTCATCTTTTTCATTAATGAGAAATGCAGTTTTCTTGTAACAAACTTTTCTTATCCAAATTGATGAAACGTAATATGGTATCAGAGCTATCACGTTCATCTTCTTCCGCTTAACCGTTCTCCGATCTCATCGTCTCCGATCAATCTGTTCATTGATCGTCTTCTCCGATGGTGTCGATTAAGAATGTCACTCGAAAATCAGCTCGTCTCAGAGCTTCTTCAAGCTCAGCTCGTCGTACAACTCGGATCCCCTCTCGTTCCGGTACAGCGGAGAACACTCCTCCACCGTCTCCACCGATCATCGTCCCTCCTCCTTTCCCTGTACCAGATTCGACCGATCCAAACCAGTCTCCTCTGTTTATGCACAACGCCGATCATCCTGGTTTGCAACTCATCTCTCTTCGTCTAGATGGATCTAACTATGATGATTGGAATGCTGCTATGCGTATTGCGTTAGATGCGAAAAATAAGATCGGATTCATTGATGGATCATTAACTCGTCCAAGTGAATCTGATTCGAACTTTCGTTTGTGGTCACGATGTAACAGTATGGTAAAGTCTTGGCTATTGAACTCAGTTTCTCCACAGATCTATCGTAGTATTCTCCGTTTGAATGATGCTGCAGATATCTGGAGAGATCTACATGGCCGTTTCCATATGACAAATCTACCACGGACGTTTAATTTGACGCAAGAGATACAAGATTTACGTCAGGGATCTATGTCTTTATCTGAGTACTATACTAAGCTAAAGACCCTATGGGATAGTTTGGAGAGTACTGATGAACCAGATCAACCTTGTGTCTGTGGTAATGCTGCTCGTATTCAATTGAAAGCTGAACGTGCAAAGATTGTCAAGTTTTTGGCAGGTCTCAATGAGTCTTATGCCATCATACGTCGTCAGATCATCATGAAGAAAGCTCTGCCTTCCTTGGTTGAGGTTTATAACATTCTCGATCAAGATGACAGTCAACGTGGATTCTCAACTGTAGCTCCTACTCAGGCTACATTTCAAGTCTCAGAATCACATTCTTCTTTGGCTGATCAATCAATCTCTTATGTTCAGAATGGACCTAACAAAGGCAGACCTATCTGTTCTTTCTGCAAACGTGTGGGTCACATAGCTGAACGTTGTTATAAGAAACATGGTTTTCCACCTGGTTTTGTCTCCAAATATAAAACTCAGGAGAAAGGATCCTCCTCTACCAAGCCACCTGCTCAGGCTACTCTTTCAACCCCTACTCCTGTCACTGATAAACCACACACCGTTGAGAATATGATTGGGAATCTCACCAAAGAACAGATTCAACAGTTCATTGCTCTGTTTAGCTCTCAGTTACAAACATCAAATGAAGCTGTTGCATCTCCCTCTGGTATCTTCTTTTCACCCACAACATATAATTTTGTTGGTATTCTTATGGTTTCTCAACATCGTTTATCTACTCAAACTTGGGTCATAGACTCTGGTGCTACACATCATGTGGCACATGATAAATCTCAGTTTTTATCTATGGATTCCTCCTTCACCAGCTCTGTGAATCTGCCTACTGGTACCACTATTAAAGTTAGTGGCGTGGGTACCATTAGACTGAATGAACACATTCTTCTCCATAATGTGTTGTTCATTCCTGAATTCCGTTTGAATCTTCTGAGCATAAGTTCAATGACTGATGCTATTGGTTCTTCTGTGACATTTACTCCATCTTCTTGCACTATTCAGGATCCTATCAGGGAGTTGACGATTGGTCAGGGTAAGAGAGTGGGGAACCTCTATGTCTTGACAACTAAAGATCCATCCATCTCTGTTCATGCGTTGGTGGATATTGGTACTTGGCATCAGAGGCTTGGCCACCCTTCTTACACGAAGCTTGATGTGATTTCTGAAGTTTTAGGCACAACAAAGATGAAGAATAAAGGCAAATCTTATTGCCATACTTGTCATCTCGCTAAACAGAAGAAGTTGTCTTACATTTCTCCCAATAACGTTTGTAAAGACAATTTTGAGCTGTTGCATATTGACATTTGGGGTCCGTTTTCAGTTGAGACAATAGATGGATTTCGTTATTTCTTCACAATAGTTGATGATCATTCAAGAGCTACATGGATTTATCTTCTTCGCACTAAAGATGAAGTTCTCTATGTCTTTCCGGCTTTTATCAAACATGTGGAGACTAAGTATGGAGCCACAGTAAAGTCAGTTAGATCAGACAATGCTCAGGAATTGACATTTGCAAAGTTTTATCAAGAAAAAGGCATCACTCCGTATCACTCATGTCCTGAGACACCTGAACAGAACTCAGTTGTGGAACGGAAACATCAACATATCCTCAATGTTGCAAAATCTCTAATGTTTCAGTCTCATGTACCACTCTCCTTTTGGGGTGATTGTGTTCTTACTGCAGTCTTTCTCATCAATAGGACTCCCTCCAAGTTACTGCAACACAAGACACCACATGAGATACTCACAGGTACAAGTCCTAACTACACTCATTTGAAGACATTTGGTTGTTTATGCTATGGTTCAACTTCACCTAAGCAGAGACACAAGTTTCTTCCTCGTTCTCGAGCTTGTAGATTCTTGGGCTATCCAGCTGGATACAAGGGTTACAAGATCATGGATTTGGAGTCTAATAAAGTTTTTATCTCTCGGAATGTTGTGTTCCATGAAGATTTGTTTCCTCTAAAGACAAATTCTCCTTTCAAGCTTGAGGAGTGGTTCTCACCAAAGTCTTCTGAGTCCTCAGTCATTCCTTCTCACCCTTCTATACCATCACCTCAAAATACCATCCCTTCTCTTCCATCAGAAATTTCTACTTCTAGAATTAAGAAGATACCTTCTCATCTTCAAGATTACCATTGTTATGCTCTTACCCCTGAGATTCCTCATCCTATATCATCCTTTCTTTCATATTCTAAACTCTCTCCATCTCATAACGCTTACATTAATTCCATTACCCAAATTCCTATTCCTACATCTTATGCTGAGGCTCAGAATGACAAGGACTGGAGTGCTGCAGCAGATTTGGAGTTTGGTGCTATGGAGTCTACAAAAACGTGGAATGTTGTGAGTTTACCAAAGGGCAAGAAAGCAGTGGGTTGTAGAGTGTTGTACTCCCTGAAGTTTCACTCTGATGGCACTCTTGAGAGAAGAAAAGTTCGGATTGTAGCAAAAGGTTATACGCAAAAGGAGGGTTTGGATTTCAATGAGACGTTTTCTCCTGTGGCTAAGATGGTCACTATCAAGTTATTACTCAAGCTTTCTGCTTCTAAACGTTGGGTTTTGCAGCAACTTGATATCTCTAATGCTTTTCTCAATGAAGATCTTGAGGAGGAGATTTACATGAAATTCCCTGATGGCTATGCAGAGAGACTACTGAAACAGGGGGACTCTGTTCCACCAAATGCAGTCTTGCAGCTCAAGAAATCGATTTATGGCCTCAAACAGGCTTCCAGACAGTGGTTTCGTAAGTTTTCTGAGTCGTTATTGATGATGGGTTTTCAAAAGAGTCATGGAGATCACACTCTTTTTGTAAAATGTTTGAAGCATGAGTTTGTGGTGGTGTTGGTGTATGTGGACGACATCATTATTGCCAACACTAGTCTGGATGAAGCGACGCAGTTAACTAATGATCTTAAACGTTGTTTTAAGCTGCGTGATCTTGGTCCTTTAAAGTACTTCTTGGGTTTGGAAATTGCTCGTAGCTCTGATGGTATCTCTGTCTGCCAACGGAAGTATGCATTAGAGTTACTTACCTCAGTGGGAATGCTCGCTTGCAAACCAGCTTCAGTCCCTATGACACCAAACCTTAAGCTTTCCAAAACAGAAGGTGTTCTTCTTGATGCTCCGGAACGGTACAGAAGGTTGGTAGGTCGATTGATGTATCTTACCATCACTAGACCGGACATCACATTTGCTGTTAACAAACTTTGCCAATATTCTTCTGCTCCTCGGTCCTCTCATCTCAGTGCTGTGTACAAAGTTCTTGAGTATATCAAAGGGACTGTGGGTCAGGGTTTATTCTACTCAGCAGATAATGATCTTACTCTCAAAGGTTTTGCTGATGCAGATTGGGCCTCTTGCCAAGATAGCCGTCGTTCAACCACCGGTTTCACAATGTTTATTGGTTCTTCTTTGATTTCTTGGCGTACAAAGAAGCAACCAACAGTTTCTAGATCTTCAGCAGAGGCTGAATATAGAGCACTTGCTTTGGCTACTTGTGAAATGATGTGGCTTTGTCAGCTTCTCCGGGACTTGCGTGTGTTTCATCTACCTGTTCCGGTTCTTTACTCTGATAGTACTGCGGCTATATACATAGCAACCAATCCTGTCTTCCACGAACGGACGAAACACATTGAGCTTGATTGTCACACCGTTCGTGAGAAACTCGACAAAGGCTTGCTTCGTACGTTACATGTTCGTACGACTGATCAGATTGCTGATCTTCTTACTAAACCATTGTTTCCTCATCAGTTTCATCATCTAATATCCAAGATGAGCTTGATCAATATACATAGCTCATCTTGAGGGGGACTATTGGAGTAATGAGGATTGATACATACTAACCCGGTTTCCTTTCGCCTGGTTTAGTGTAATTAATTGTACATTGGTTAGTTTTGGTTTAGTATTCAATTGTATATAAGCCGTTGTAAAGTCATCTTTTTCATTAATGAGAAATGCAGTTTTCTTGTAACAAACTTTTCTTATCCAAATTGATGAAACGTATCGTCGTCCTCCTCGATCCTCCTCCGGTGGTGATTATCGCGGCGATCCTCACGGAGAATCTTCGACCAGTCCGGGACGTTCACCGGGAGAGACTTCGCCGCCACGGCGGCGCAAGACGACGGACGGTTAGACTGTTTTGTGCCGGATCTGACGGATGTAGAGATTTTCCGGGGGGAATCGGAGGAGTAGAGATCGGATTCGTCGAACTCGAAGGCGGAGTCGGTGGTGGAGGAGTAGTACGACGGATCTGTGCCGAGGAAACGGTGGCTTGGCCGTGGGTAATAGCTTTTTCCGGTGGCCATTGGAGAAGAAGAGATTTTAAGAATATTTTTAATTATTTTAGAGTTTTTTTTTTGAGTATTGGTTTTGGTGTATGTATGTATCAATCCTCATTACTCCAATAAGCTAGGACAGAGAGTTAAAATTTGAGACGTAGCATCGGTGTCAACCGCTAATATTTACAGCATCGATGAAAACACGATCACTAGCAGTAGTCACAAGCGGCAACTTACTACTTACTACGGACGCTGCGATTTAATTTATCTATGTTTTCCGTAAAATTGACGCCTCCTATCAGTTGGCTTAATGAAGGGTGTTGATATACTTCGATTAATTCATCGATCAATGTGATTAATATATGTGTAAAAGGTCATTACCCTCTAAGAACCCAATGTTACAGGCTGAGTTGACTATATGTAGCACGTATTTATACTTATATATACTTTATTAATAATGAAATGTTAAATTTGAAGTTCTAACGAGACAAGTCAACGTTAAAATTAAAAAGGTTATGAGTTTTATTTTCTTTAAGAGAGTAGCGCAAGTGGTTTGGCACCACCATTAAGTCATGGCACTGAAGAATCTCAACTTTTACACTTTGCGTAGACCAACACATCTTTGATTAAAAACGTCTCTGAATTTCAGTTAAAACTCCTTTGTGTGTTAAATTGCCTAACTAAGTAAGTTCTTTGATTACAGTTATTGTTCTTTTGTAACAGATAATTGTGGAACGTTGAACTTTAACTATGTTTGAGATTTGTAATCGACCATGCACACTAAATTTTAAGTAAGACTCTAACTCCTAGTTGTGCAAGCTTTTGAACTAGTTAGGGATGATTTGATGTTTGAAATGATCAGTTCAATGTATTGGAAAAGATCACATGATCGTTGTGTGGGTCGTTTGATCACGTTTAGTACAGTGTTGCGAGAAAATAAAGTAAGATGGTTAGGTGTGTATTAAACCAAAGGCATCAATCTTAGTGGGTCCAAAGCTAAATGTGTTTGTAGCATAGTAGGTTATACTTTTTTGGTTACTCGTACTATAGCATATACTCTTCCTTTTTCTGTTAATCTTTTTAATTTTAAGTTAAAATGGACTAGCTGGTAGTGAACGTGTGGCAGTGTTATTGATAAACGAAAATTATGGATTCTTGACTTTTTCTCATTTATTTTCTAGCTTTGAAGATCCAAAATCAAAGGAGAAGTCCAACATTTTTTCATAATTTTGTGGCATTCCTAATCGTCTTAAGTCGAGCGATTGGAATTAAGTTAAGATTATACACTAGATAATTAAGTCAGGTATTAGAATCATGTTGGTTTTTAACTTGCTAAGACTTAGATATCTTCACTGACGATTGGCGAAAACTCATGAAAAAGGGAGAGGGCAAGAAGAATCTCAAATTATAACATGTTTATTTAGTTCTAGTTGTATCATATTAGAAAGATGAAGTCAGTAAAGGGTGAGAATAGATTATTTAACCGTCGTCTGAAACATTACATAGCTGTCACAAATTGAAAAACTAACAGCCATAACAATGTTAACATTCTCCCGTCATATGTTTGGACAACGCTTTTGTTCTGGTCCGAATCGTTACATATGAAACACCGAAATTACCCTTAGTGGATGGTAATTAATTATTTTTGCCGCAGTGAGATTAAAGTTATGCTGAAAATAGATATCTAAACCGCGTTGTGACTGATTATTCGGTGGTGTTAAATTAGAAATTTTACTATTTTTAATCCGATTAGTGATAAGGGTATTATGGGAAATGTAATTTTTTTTTAATTTGTTTTTTTGGCAGAAACGGGCAAAGCCGCATGTTACATTGTCAAAATTAAGAAAAATTTACTCTCTATTTCAGTTTCTTGATCGATTAATTAATGAATTTTATAAATATAGCGTGAGACAAGAAGGAGAAGTTAATAATAAATAATTTCTTCAAGTTTAATTGCTTTTTATTCTTCTTCTCTTGTGCAGAAGAAGAATGCCTTTGTCACGTACTCTCCTTTTGTAGCTTCTCTACTTCTTCTCTTCTTCTCTTCTTCTCTCTTCTTTGTGAGAAATTGCTTCTTTGGTGTTGAAGATGGAGAGATACAAGTGTAGATTTTGCTTCAAGAGCTTCATCAACGGAAGCGCTTTAGGTGGTCACATGAGATCTCACATGCTTAGTCTCTCTTCAAAACGTGATCTTTACCAAGAAGAGGAACGTCCGAGTCAACTCAGTGAGGAAACAGAGTCCGATGCTTCTTCTTCATCTGATGAGGATTGTGGTGAGTTTGATGATCGTAAAAGTACTCGTCTTCAGATGGTTGATGATAAAGAAATGGAGTTTGGTTTCTCGGAAAGCGAAACAGAGTCATCGAGGATTAACCCAACTCGGAGACGATCCAAGCGAACTAGAAAACTCGGATCATTCGATTTCGACTTTAAAAAGCTGAAGCCGAGTCAAGCAGCAGGTGAAACAGAACATCATCATAGCTCAGCTTCTGACACGACGACAGAGGAAGATCTAGCCTTTTGTCTCATTATGCTCTCAAGAGACAAGTGGAAGAAGAAGAAGACAATGAAGCAAACTGTAGTAGAAGAAGAAGATGATGATGCTGATGAGTCAGATCATGACTGCAAGAACAGGGGAGGAAGAGGGAGATTCAAGTGCGAGACTTGCGGTAAAGTGTTTAAATCTTATCAAGCATTAGGAGGACACAGAGCAAGCCACAAAAAGAACAAAACTTTCACAAAAATAGAGCATGAGAAAACAGAGCACTCTGTTAATGGACTCAGTGAGAAGAAAAGTCACCAATGTCCGATCTGTTTTAGGGTTTTCACTTCGGGACAAGCACTTGGTGGTCATAAGAGGACACACGGAAGCAACAACATCGTATCAGGAAGAGTCTTGTCTGTAAATCATATAATCCCTATTGAAGTATCAGTGCAACAGAGGATGATAGATCTTAATCTTCCTGCACCAAACGAAGACGATGAAACTTCTGTAGTGTTTGATCAATGGTGAAAACTGAAAAAAAAAACAAAAAAAAGGTAACAGACTTTGCGTGATCTTATCGGTTTATTATTATTCTTTTTTTTTTTGTTTGATCGAACTCTAAAAACAAGCTTATGTTTTTTATTTGTTTTGGTTATTATTATGATTATTTTAAATGCAAAGGTTGGTACTTTTACATGTTCTAACGCCAAGTCTTTCACTACTAGTTCACGTCGTGTTGGCCTGAATCAGTGAGCATTGAATTTTCATTAGTGAATAGAAGAAAATTTGTGTAAGTTTTATCATATCAATACTTGGAATTTAGGTATTACTATATGATTTTAGAAGCTATAGAACTAATAAGAGTGCCCACTTCATCTATCTCTTTAGCCTACTATTATAAGAAGAAAAGGAGAAAGTCAAATTTAAAAAGGAAACAATCAACTTTACGTTTTTTGTCTTGCTTTCTATATCATTTTCACTGTAGAATCAAATTTGGCCATTGGGTTTTGAACTACCACCAACTTAGAATTATTCTTCAAGTATACTTTGTTCTTTACTTATGAGTTGGAATCAGAACCAATGACTAATGTTCATAATCACCACCCAGTAGATATCAACAAAATTGCATGTGATGGTTCAACTGGTCTTATTACACAGTTTGGTGGCTACTCGTGTTTGCAAAGAAAAAATCATTAACCCATGTTTTGTTTGGTGGATACTCGCTAATCACTTGGATTTAGTGCTTACAAAGTATCACTAATCCATTTTCATTTCTAAAAATAAATTATTCAAGGGTATTTCTTTCTCTTTGTTTGGTAAAGTTCAAGAGTACTTAAATAGAGCTTTTGAATGATTACGGTTTATGAATGGAACGGACTAATTAAGCGTACCAAAAACGTTGATAAATTTGCTTGGTCTTTCGCTCACAACGACGTAATCATTGCGTATATGTATATACTGTCCTCTTAAGTCTTATTTGACTCAAATCTGCGAGACCATTTTATGCATTTGCTTTGTTATCTCTACTAACTGGCAAGAACATCATCTCTGATACTCGTCTATGAAAAAGAGGTAACATGTTCACTTTTGCTGATGGAGAATTTAAAATATAAGATTACATTTTCATAAAGTTCATATTAAAGAAGGCAATGTTCGTAAACGCCACTCTTCTATAAGCTAAAATATGTAAGAAAAAAAGCTAAAAGAGAGAGAGAGGTGTCAAATGTACAAAGCTAACAAGAAAATGAAGATCGCATGCAATGTAAAGAGGGGTAACCACAAGTAAAGTGAGATAACAAAATCGAATATATGACATCTGGTAACAAATTAAAAGAAGTATACATTACAAGTGTTCTTCTTTTCTGAATGTATATACCTCCAAGGTGGCTAGCTAAGCGAGTCTCAACAACATTTATATTAATGCCAATCGGGATGGATGTTCCTTTGGTTAACGCGTTGATCATATTTGGACTTTTTCCGGAAAAAAGTCATATTGCGATTTTTTTTGACAAGGCAACACGATCATGTCGATCGATCAATAGTATTTACGGAATATTTTCCTATTTAGCTTATGATAACGTGTTGTTGATTAGACTATGACTCTAGTCACGGCGATTAGATATACGGGTACGCAAGATTTGGTTAAGAATATACATTTTGTTGCAACTATAAATTTTATTTTATTTTTTCACATCGTTGCAACTATAAATCTGATGGATATGGTTATGAGAAAGGTTCATTGAAGACTTTGCAAGTATATTTCATGCGTGTTATTGAGCCGAAAGCCGAACGGCAGCAAAAGTTATATTTTATAGTTGTATTTCTGAGAGGTAATGGAACATAAACTAAATTAACGACATTTTATATGTAATATGATTTTTTTCGAAACAACTTAGCTTGTTAATCGTTAGCTAAGTTCAGTTTAGCTGATTTTATTCTCACGTAATTTTACGTGGCTTAGAATTAATTGTTTTGTACTTTAATTGCAAACAAATGAATTACAAAGATAATACCATTGATGAATGCTATCATATAAGCTATCTGCATCTAGAAACTTCAACATTTTTAGTACATTTCGTGATTACTAACTATATGATGCTATCTAGAAACTTCAACATGTGATGAATTCAATGACATCAGCTCTAGCCTATTACCACCTTTAAACTTCAAATTTTGTTAACTAGTCTGAATAAAGTGTGTAGTACAAAGTTGCATATAATTTACTTTATTAAAGAATGGATTAGCAATGTACACGATATTTATCGAAGGCCAATTCTAAACATTCGAGTAATCAAAAGGAAGTTGACTTTCAAAAGAATACAAAAACATCTCTCTGCATCTCTTCTAATATTTCACCCCTTCGGCTTAATGAAGAAACTACTACACTCACTTAACCAATTACCAAACAGAACAGAACGAAAGGGTGTCGTTTCGAGAAGGGAGATTAGTAACGGATCCGAATTTTATTATTTGAAAATCGGTGCATACTTTATGTCGTCATCATTAGAAAAATATACATATAGAAGTAGAAGAAATAATTTCATATTATGACGATGATACCGAATGTACCTCGTAAGCAGCCACTAATGTGAAAAATCAATTAGAAAATTACTTTCGATCTATCTTACTAAAACTGAAAAACAAAATAAATTATTTTATTATTCATTTTTTTATTTTATTTTTTACTTGTCCTAACTAAATCATTAATTATTTACCATAATAACAATTATTAATTTTTTGACAATAATTAAAATTGGTAAGCAAATAATTTTTTTCTTAGCCATACTTAATAACCATGTCATTAACTAATTACTATTATTCATTCAAATCATTACCTACACGATATAACCGTCGATAATTCTATATACCTTACGAAGATTCATGTTAGACTCTATCATTATGAGCCGTCCTATGACATCTATTCTTGACGATGTTTTTTGACTATGCTGAAGATCTTTTGTAAGTTTTTCTTTCTAATTTTCTACAGAATTCACATTCTTCGAAAATTGAAATCCAGACCTCTTATTGTTGAAATTGCATAGCCTAGAATTCTAACCCTAATTTTATATATTTATGCAAAATAACAAAACTCACTATTTATATATATTTAAATTAACATAATATTTTAATAATCAACCTTGAAATCTAAAATTGTTATAAATACAAATTAAATAAGTAAACAAATAAATTATTGAATTTAAATGTTAAGTATACATGTGAATAGTTAATTTTAATAAAATAATCTTTATATGTGATGTTCACAAATATACTCATTTATCGAATAACCAAATGTAAGTTTAATAAGATAAATATGTATCTAAAATTATTTTTTATAACAATAAATTAAATTATAGCATGTAACTTATGTTTATGAAATCATATAAACATTTAAATATATGGTAAATGTTAAAAGTATTAACTACTAAACACTTAAAATAACATTATTGTATACAAATGGTAAATCAAACATCCACACGGATGTGTGGAACAAATTTTTATTTAAAGTAGTTACTTTAAAGGCCAACCATGAGCTGCAAAATTCACTCATCAAGATCAATTGTTGCTTCCGTTGGTATCGAATTCACACCCATTCTTGTTCTTCCCACCTTCGTCCTATTTAGAACCCTAATTTTATTTGATTTACATCATTTTCTCTCTCTTCGTCTCTGGCTTTGTGTATATGAAAGAAGATCGAGTTTGGAATGGCTCGCGAGAAGAGAAGCAAATAATTTTTGTAGTCTTCGAACTGTTTCTTCAGAGATTACTATAATACCCCTCTTTATAGGTAATCAGAAAACCGGTTAATAGTTTCCGTAATTTTAATGGTTTGATCAAACCGGGTTTCAGCTCAATACTTATTGAATGCAGAAATGGAATAGATGAGTTCTAGTATCTTATTCTTCTAGCTAAGCCAAGCATAAACTAAGAGAATCTTGTATATGTCCTTCTAATCCATCCAAAAGCTGACTCAATCCACTTATTGGCCATGACTAGAGTAGAGACACTCAGAATATAACCGATCCGTCTCCTTAATACGTTGCTTAGACAACCTAAAAGCGAATAACAGAGCTAATAATTTGTAGTCATCCTGTGAAAGCTCTGGCTGTCCATGAAGTTATACAAATCCGGATATTCTCAGTCTCAGAGCACATTTAGAATGATCAGATGCTTAAACTCGACTGAGTATAATGCGGAATATTAAGATAATGCCATTTTCAATATGATTTAAGGAAGAAACGAAAAAATACAAATATTATGATAAGTCCATTCCCCGTGTGATTAAATTTCTATTAGATTTATCAATAAGGAATAGGTATGGGAGAAGGGACGTGGACCGGCCGTAAAACAAGATCGGAATCAGAAAGATTAAGCGGCGGAAGTGAGTAAGCACCGTAAGTAGAACTCCCTCTTCTCATCTCCCTCATCGTCATCAACGCCGCAACCGTATTCCTAAATATCCCTTCTCCCGCCGCGGCCGAACTCACCGCCGCAGATCTCTCGTATCCCTCCACCTCCCTAGTCAACGCCGGAAACATCGCATCCATCGTCGTCTCCCACTCTCTGACCAGCCTCGACACCAAATCCGTCTTGAAAAACGGTTGTCGGAGAACTTTTTGGATAAACGGTGATCGCAATGCTCCTCCTGTTCTCTTGTCGTACTTCTTCAAAATCTTTGCTAACCCTGTAGGAAAAAGTTTAGTTCTCTTTCCGACCAAACACACTTGACGTAAAGATTGTGTCAGTTAAAAGTAACTTTTATTACCAGTGTAGTTAATGTTGCTGTAATTAACGAGAAGTACCATCTCGCCATGGAAGTTAACAATATCCTTTCTGATCTCATTAACCTCTTCTCTGAACATTACGTCATCATTGTCTCCACATTTTTCTACCAATCTTTGAATACGATATTGCAATTCCTTCATAAATATATATTTGATTAGTCACGTAAATTTTGCATATAATATATTCACTCCATTTTTATTGGTTCATGCTCTAGAATCGTGCGCCTAAATTAAAATAATATATTTTTTTAAATTTTTTAATCGTGAATACTGTTAATCATCTATCTAAATTCAGTTCAACCAATAATTAAACAAATGACATAGTACAAAAATCATAATAGAAG